CGGCCGCAGGCCAAGGAGCTCGGCTCCTCGAGAGCACCGACGGACGACGATCGGCTCCTCAGCAGTGGGACGCCGAGCTGGAGGCTCGGCCCGGAGCTCGCGCGGGCACGTGGAGCTTTCCGCTCGGGCCAGCAGGAAACGGGCGCCCCGCACAGCGACGCCCGCCGTAGAGTGCCGAGAGCTCGGCTCGACGCGAGCGCCGAGGAAAAGCGATCGGCTCCGCAGCAGTGGGACGCCGAGCTGGAGGCTCGGGCGGGAGCTCGCGCGAGCACATAGCGAGGTGCGTGCGCGGCGGCGTGACACAGGTGAGCGGGCAGCTGGCGCACATTTCGACTGTGGGAGCTGCCAGGAGTTTGCTCTCTCCGTTCACACCCCTTTGCAGAATTTTATAGTGTTGTCTTTTTTCTTTCTTTCTTTCTTATCTCGAGTCCCAGAAACCCGAGGTGCGAGGAGTCACATCCACGCCTGTGTGATGCACGCCTGTGAGCGGGGCGCCGGTGCGCACTGTGCCTCTGTGTTCGTGCGTCGCCCATCTCTCCTGGAGATGACTGCTCTATTTATTTATTTACACGACGAAAAGAATCCCCGCCACACGCGGAGCTGGACCGCCGCAAGCGGCGTGCGGTGGCGTGGAGCGGTTGTGCATTCCTCCGGGGGCCCCTCTCTCTCTCTCTCTGCGCCGGGGAGGCGTTGTTGGAGGCTAGGACGCAAGCGTCCGTCGCCCTTTTCAAACTCGGGGCCCACTCCGCTACGCTCCGACCCGAATGTCTCATTCTACATCCAGTTCGGAATGACATCAGGAACAGCGAAGTTGACACGTCCAAGCAAACTTGGGCACGCGTCCTCATTGGTCGGGAACTGCGCCATGGCCAGGCCACATGACGGGCTGGACGCAATCCTCAAGCAGAGGCTGAGCGCCAGCTTCACTGAGGCCGCCGCAAACGCGAATTCGCATATCGAGCTCGTGCGCCGCACGAGCTTCACCTCAGGAGAGAGCATCACCGCGTTTGCGCGCTTTGCGCACCGGCACCGCTGCCTCGAGGCCTTGCTCCTGTACAAGGAGGTCGAGCAGTACAAGACGCTCTTCTCGGGGCGTACCCGTGCGGCGAGGCGCCTCTTCCGGCTGTACGTGCAGGAGGGCGCCAGCTGGGAGGTGAGCCTCCCTCGCCAGATTGCGCTGCAGGTCGAGCGCGAGCTAGAGGCGGCAGAGAAGGGCACTGGCGAGACGGACGACGAGCTATTCGACGCGGCGCAAACGGAGGTGTACGAGCAGATGCGGCTTGACATCTTTCCTCGCTACTGCGAGGCCGCCCAGGAGGGGCTGCGCAACGCGTCCGGCGAGGGTGCTATTGCCGAGAGCATCGAGGTGATCCTGGCGGGGACGCACCTCGCCGCCTCGCGCTCCTTCAACGAGTTTGTGCGTGAGCACTTTTGCGAGGAGGCGCTCCTCTTCTGGCTCGAGGCGAACGCGTTTGCGCTGCTCCTCGACGAGCGGGACCTCGCCTCCCGCTCGGGCTTCATCTACAGCAGTTTCCTCGAGGCGGATGCTCCCTACTCGATCAATATATCCGAGCCGGTGCGCTCCACCATTCAGCGGCGGATCGAGAGAGGGCACGTTGACAACGACATCTTCACCTCCGCCCAGAAAGAGGTGGAGCTAGAGCTGGAGCTCGACATTTTTCCGCGCTACATCGTGTGGGCCCGGGAACAGCAGCGCAATTGTGCCCCCCTGCCAGCAATGGGGAGGGAGAAGAGGGAGCAGGCACCCGGCTCGCAGGCAGCGCGGCCAGTCTCGCTGGCGGACGGGCTCGCCGACGGGGGCGGCACCGATCGCGAGCGCGCGCGCGAGAACGTGCGCCAGCTTCTCGCCATCCCCGAGGAGCTCTCTTTGCTCCGCGAGATTGCCGAGGCGTCACATGCCATCGAAAATGTCGATTTCTATGTCGACGTGCAAGCCTTCAAGCTGCTGTTTGAGCCGCGCCAGCGGAAGAAGGTGGCGCGCGAGCTGTGGCAGCGCTACATCGACGATGACGCCGTCTGCGTCATCACGCTGCCCGACGAGGTGAAGCGCCAGCTAGAGGCCGACGCGCTGGGTGACGAGGTGCACGCCACCGCCTTTGACCGTGCCGAGAGGGAGACCCTCGCCCTCATCACGGACAACCTCTACCTGACGTACCAGCAGAGGGTGCGGCAGCGGGAGGGTGGCAGCGGCGGCGCCGCACCCGCAGCGAGCCCGTCAAAGGTCTCCAAGAGGGCGGTGGGACAACAACCACCGGGCCGGCTTGACGGGTGTGTGGCGTGCAGCACGCAGTGAGGATGTGCATGTGGGCAAAAGACGGTGTGTTGTTGTGACTTCTTTTTGCGAGCATTGGGCACGGGGCTGAAAGAAAGCGCGGCCTAAGTGTGTTTGCGAGGAACTGTTATTGAATTCTTTTTGCGTCGGAGCTTGCCTGCCTGGCGGCGGGGCTCCCTCTCTCCTTTTTCTTTGAGAGCCAGCCTTAGATGTTTATGAAACAAACGCAAGGCAGACACACACATGACACATCACTCTCGGACCCACAGAATCTAAATAAATAAATAAAACGGTCACGCCAAACGAGACATCTGGCAATCAAGACGGTTTCTTCTTCCCTGTGTCCCAGGTGTATTTTATTTTTGCTTGGCCGGGTATCATGATGAAATTCTGCAAAAACCTGACCGGCCCCTGCCCTGCCCCTACCTACCTACCTACCTACCTACCTACCTACCTACCTACCTACCTTACTTATGGGAAACTAAAAAAGAAATCACGGGATGGGTGAAGGTGGGGTACTATACCAACTAAAGTGATGGCTGGTGAGGGGTCCCGTACCATGCGGAATCGACCCTATCCAGTGCTCAAGTGCTCAAGTACTATCCTGCAACCACAGTCCTTCCTGTGACATGGCAGGCCACTCTCAAGCCCTACAAGCACCAGATCAACGACTTGGGGAGGGTTGACATCGTGATTTGCGCGGAAAATTCTTTCCGACTGGAGGGCCCAGACCCTACCCTACCTACCCTGTCATGATACCGCCAGCAAAAAACAATACACGAGTGTGTCCCGACCTATCGGCGCATGCCGCCTTCTCCACCGCCTAACGCCGCGATTGAGGTCCAGCCCTCACCTCGCCTCCCGCCACTTCATCCGCGGCCGCGCCGCTTCGCGAGGCCATTACGGCTGCTGCTCGTGCTGCTCGCGCTAGCGGCCGCTGCCGCCGTCGGCTGGCTTTGTATCCAGCACCGCGCGGCGATCCTTGCGAGGTTTCTCACGCTGCTGCAGGCCGTGCAGGCGCTAGGGCCACTCCGGGGCACGCTCTTGCTCGTCTGCATGCAGGTTGCGGGCTTTGTGTTGTTGATACCAACTTCGATCCTCTCCGTCGCCGCTGGAGCCGCCTTTGGGCTGCAGATTGGGATAGCCGCGGCGGCGGCCGGTTACCTCACTGGCTCCCTCTTCCCCTTCTTCCTCTCGCGCCGTGTACTCTCCGCGACCGCCACTCGCTTGGTCCGCTCCTACCCGCTCGCGTCTGGCGTCCTTGCCGCCGTCGATGAGCAGCCGTTTCTCCTCATCGTGCTGCTGCGCCTCTCCCCGGCTCTGCCGGCGCCGGTCAACTGCTACTTGCTCGGGCTCACCTCCGTCCCGACGTCGACCTATCTGGTCGCCACTGCCCTCGGCGCGGCCCCAAACTGCGTCTTTTGCGTCTACCTCGGCTCGCTCATGCAGTCGATAGCAGAGGTGCTGCAAGGCGACGGCGCGGCCCCGCCGTGGCCTCTCATCGTCCTCGGCCTCGCCGCCACCGTCGGCGCGCTTGCTCTCATCTCCAGCGTAGCGCGCCGCAAGGTGAGCCTGCCACTGCGCCCTCCTT